TGGCTGTCAAATGCATATTTAGTGAGCTGTGCTTGCTAAGCATTTTCTAATACTGATGTCATTAGCATAAAAGAAAGCTGATTACCCAAGTTTGATTTTTTTAAAAAATTTTTTTTCCCCCACTACATTAAGAAGAAAAAAATATTACAGACTTTTTTTAACAGAAAATACATGGATTGGTGTCTTAAAGTCATCATTCGTCTTTGTCTTTCTTGGCCTCCTGAAGCAGAAGTAGGCCTCAACACATTTTGCGATTAGAAGTAGTTTTTATGACTTTTAGCAGTTACCTGGTTGCTCCCTGCAAGCAGCAGCTAATTGTATTTCAACCATCAGTCAGGGAATGTATTTATTTCAGATTTGTGCAAAACACTAATATTAGTTTAACCTTTCCTCAGCTGTGACAGATTTTATGGTATGTACCATACAGTTCAGTGCTTTATGCTCTTCATTTGTTCATAGAAAATTCTGAGGGCATGCCATGCTGCAGGTAACATATTTAAATGCTTACTGGGTTTATATGGAAAACAGTCACCATTGATGGCAGGCTAGAGTGAAGATGGGACAAACACACCACCACAGATCAGGAAGGATGTTGTGGTACCTAGGGACAGAGTTCGTGTACCACAGCAGGTCACCGAGAGTTGAAGTGCATATAGCCCCTGATGCTGATCACGTAGATCTGCTCTCGGAAAGAGTATAGAAGCACAGGTGACTGCTCACTGTTGGTTTGTTGCTGTTCATAGAGTGAACAAAGCTAAGAGGACCAGATGTTTTCCTTAAGATACAGGAGCATGGCAGAGAGAAATACCTTATTAAATTAGGGCAAACAAACCCTTTATTTGTTTCAGTAGCATCTTCTGTGAACTTACATCCCATGTTTTGTAATTTTTTGCTCAAACATTAGGAGTTTCTCTCCATAGAAATATTCAATTGAAACACATTGTTAAATTTTACCTAACAGATCATTGAAGAGAGTTTTGTTTTGCTGAGTTTCAGGTACCTTGGTGTGACTTTTTAAGAAGTAACTTTGTGTTCTTTTTGTCTGTTGACCACCTTCTTGCCTCTGTTTTGGGATCTGGATTGTCAGAGGGTTTGTAGAAGCCAGGAAGATGAACTTCACATTGTTTGCATGCTGTATGCAAAATGAACCCAAATTAGACTGGATTTTTCTTCCTCTTTATGCTGTTTCTTGTACATACCGGATGTATTTCTGAGAAAATAGATTACAGTTTGAAAGTAGCAAATAGCTAGCTATCAAGTAAAACCAGCTGTCGCCAAAATATGCAAAAGCAACAGAGCAACTTAAAGGGAAATTATTTGTCTGAAGGCAATAGTGTAGAGGTCACTGATCAAATACATAGATTGTCTTTTTGGGAGAGAGAAAAGAGCTTCCACTTAAATTGGTGTCCAAAGGTCTCAAAGTAGTTTGTAGCCTCTTACCAGGTAATGAAAAAATTATCATCTCCGTTTTACAAAAAGAGAAGATGAAGTATCTAGCAGAGCCTGTCTTTTGATTTGTTTTCAGGTGTTTTGACTACAATGTCACCATTCTTCAGTTTATACATTAAGATTTACCTGAAATAAAACAATAATGCAGAATGGTTAAGGTGCAAACAGCAATTTTATAATATTTGAATCTGGAAGCCAATGCACACACCAAGTTTAGATCTGTTCAGAGTTAAGCAAAAGTAAGGGAAGGGCCTTGGTTGGCCTTTGAAAACTAAATTCTACAGAGGCTAATTATTGACTAGGGGTATAATTTACATGATACATGTTTCAAAGGGAAAATTGTGTTTTACCTTTTTTCCTGCTTTTGTTTTTCAAAAACTGCCTAATTTTACCACATGCTGTACCAGTGTTTTCCCCACAGAAGAAATGTTTCACTAGATAATTTTTGCTGGTGTGTATATGTACAGCCTGAGAACAGAAGTGTTTTAATTGACACAATTGAGTGCAGTATGGATAATAACTGCTATTTCAATGACTGTTCTCATTCTTTATCCTAGCTATTGTTCAGGAATGTAAAAATGATTTTGTGAACCTGAGTACAAAAACCTGTATCTGAAAGCTCTCACTATTGATACCATTTGTGTGTGGAACATACTCTAGAAATACCATGCCATTTCACAGATTTAGGCTCTTTATCCCACTCCCCTTTAATTCAATATATAAAAAGAAATTTGGCTACACAGGGCAAAACTCCTGCTGGTTTCTGTGAAAGACGAAGAATTTCTGGGTGCACAGCAAGATGAGGGGGAAAGAGCTGAATCTCAGAGGTCACCAGAAAGCTTAGAAATTTCTGTTACTCAATTGCAAATGACAAACACTAATGTGACTATCCGCACCTAAAATGTAGTTCTTCTAGTGCAAAATGCAGCATCTGTTTAACACTTTAAAGTAACACTGTCCAGTGTACACATAGAATACAGGGCAGAAAATGAGGAATAGTTATTAATGCTGGAGAGCATAAATGTTCTGTCAGGAGCATTTATACAACTATCTGACTCCAGTGCATGACATGCTTTTAAGTAACCTGGAGCATGGAGCTTAGAAACACACCTTACTGAAGGACTGCATGCTCTTTTCCTCAACCAGACCATGTTTGTCCTCATTACGCTGGAAAGTGGTTAAAACACTTGTGGGCTGTAGGCACCTTTGTTGCATTTACTGAGTGCCTTCTCCGTCCTCTTCCTTCCAGGTAGAGCAGAGCCACTGAAATGTTCAGTGGCCCAAAACCTTGCTAAATACCAATTCATTACTCTTCCTCTTTAAGCACAAGCTGTTCAATTGTGCTAATCTTAAGTTTTCCACAACTGTTGCTCTACCATTAGCTGGTTACCCTTTCCAGTGCATTTCTATTTGTCTGTTATTTAGCTGCTGTGCCTCTGCAGTATTTGAAACACTTCACACCCCTAACTGATATTATGGTCATCTAAAACATGCTTTACAAAGCCAAAACTCTTACTTTTTCAGATTATTGCTAAGAGAATCAAAGAGCTCTTCAGAGCTAATAAGTGTATTTTTAAAAAATAATTTTAATATGTGCCATCTAGGAGGAAACAAAAGCAGAAATAAATAGGTATGAGGTCTCAAATTCTGTCTTATTCCCTATCTGTCAGTCAGGCACCGCAAAACGCTCTCTTAGGCTGAGAAGCCTCTGTAGTAGGTATAGTACTTTTGTTCCATTGTAGGGTGAGTTTTGGCAGTGTGAGAGGTCTAGGTGAAGCTACGCCAGAGCAGTTCTGAGCTGGACAGCAGCTTTTTCAGAACTGCCATGAACTGATGAGAGGAAGCATTCACTGCACAGTGGCTGATGCTGAAGTTAGCATAGCCTGAAAAACTTTACAAATTACTGTGCCACACATGACCCTTTTTACAGGGGTATACTTATCTAATGTGGTGAGTTGGCCATAGCCAGCAGCTAAGCACCCACATAGGTGCTCACTCGCCCCCTCTGCCCTGCCCTCAGTGGGATGAGAGGGAGGACAGGAAGAACAAAAGCAAGAAAACTCGTGGGTTGAGATAAATGCAGTTTAGTATGTGATGGAAAGAGGAGGAACAAACCAAGTAAAGCAAAAGAAATCGTTCACCACCTCCCACAGGCAGACTGATGCTCAACCAGTCTCCAAACAACAGCCACCTTGGAAGCCAAAAAGCCCACCCTTTTCTGTCTCTACTTGTTTTTATTGCATGATGTTATATGGCATGGAATATTCATTGGGCTGTATCACCTCCCAACTTCTTGCCCATCTCAGGCTATTCCTTGGGAGGAGGACAGAGGAGAAAAAAGGCCCTGAGGCTGTACAAGCACTCTTCAGTAGCAACCAAAACACAAGTGTGCTGTCAATGCTGGTTTAGTGACAGATCCAAAACATAGCACCATAAGGGCTGCTATGAAGAAAGTTAACTCTATCTCAGCCAGACCCAGTACATCTATTTGTATAAATCCTGTTCAGATTCCCACAGGGAATCCTTGTGGAAAGGGTTCATCTCACAGCACACACAAACCCTGGATATTACTTAATTAATCTTCCACCTCCTCTCTGTGCTACTAGTTGGTCTGCTAAGGGAACAGTAATTTAGTAACTAACACTGAAAGTTCAAACAATGTAATTGTCATCAAGTGAAAGAGAAGCTCTCTGGAGAATGGTTATTATTTTGCCCAGGAAAAAAAATTAAGAAAAGCAAAAAGAATTCTTATTTTGCTAGATTGAAAAATTAATGTGTTGGCAAGATGGGAGTGCTTTTATGGAGTTTGCAGTGATTACACAGCCCGTCAAACAGCAGTGGATATTTTGTTCAGCAGAATCTGTACTCCACAGGATTTGAAAGTCTTTCAAAAAGTCATGTGGGTGTGTGAAATGTAAAGTAACAAGAATTGTCGTTAAAGAAGATACGAGCTAAAATGAGTCTGAGGAGGAATTTTATTTTTGAATGCTCCGAAGAAAAATCCCTTGATAGTCAGTAGTTAGATTAGAGAACAGCACAAATGCTTACAAGAAAGAAAGTGAGCACAAGTTCTTCAATTTGAAACTGGTGATTTCATTTTAAAAAAAATTATATACCAGTAAATTAAGTTCTGTGATTATAAGTTCCTTTTTCTTTCTCCTGCAGTAATGTTTTTCTCTCAAACCTGTAGTCATGGAGGCTGTATAATAATAAATGGACACAATGAGCTATATGGTTGCAGACCAACACACCAAGCTTTTGCTTAGTTTGTTTTTTTATTGTTTATTTCTTAGTGGTGATGGACTTTCTTGTACAAAGGGAGGGCATTTTTCCAGAGATTCAGTTAAAAGCAAAAGTTAAAAAAAAAAAAAGCTGTGAAAAGTTTACTATTATTGGATAGACAGGCATAAAAAGTAAGTGTGAAGTTACAGAGAATAATGATGCATATAGGGATCAGTTCAGGGTTGCTAGCGGGCTGATATGAAATGCAGTAGATCTGCTTGTAATGAAGCTAAAGTCAGACATGCAAATGAAATATCATAGAATTATAGAATGAATTGAGTTGGAAGGGACCTTTAAAGATCATGTAGTCCAACCCCAAATAATTTAGTAAGACAGCTCAGAAGGAAATTGCTTGACATTAGGATAGATTATTTCAAATGAAGCAGTTCTTTTTTGCTCTTACTAAAATATCTGAGCCCAAAATTGGGTATTCATCGATGTTTTAATTTGTTTAGTTTCTTAATATACTGTTAATAATCTGTTTCAGTCATATGTTTACTCCAAACTGATGCTAAAATCATTAGATTTTGGCAGTGGAGTTTTTCATGTCTTATTTCTTTTATTCTATGTAATCGTCTATCTTTGGTAGTTGTGTGCATTTGTATACTTTCAGCACATTGACATGAGAATTCTAGCACTTCGTTATCTTTTAGTATTGCAGAAAATATGGTAGCTGTTGGGACTTCTGGCAAACTGTATGCAGAAGGAATTTTACAAATTTTTGTGAATGTCACAATATTATTTTTACTGTCATTCTGTTTCCTTACTTGGTTTTCTACCTAATTTAGTGTGTGTTTGTTTTGATCTAATTTGTTAGGACTAGTTTAATCAGAATGTAAGTGTGCTCATCCATTAGAACATGAGATACTCCTGATTTGGATATGAACAAAACAGAAACTGGACGGTTAAACTTAAATCCATACAGATAAATAAAGCAATTATACACACCTATGACCCAAAAAGAGAAGTCTGTGGTCTGGGGAAGATGATGCTGTAGATTTATGCAATGGGAATGTGCCTTTGAAAGAAAATTGTGTGTACTGCTGAGATAGAGTCAGAGAATGATTTGGGTCAGAAGGGAATTCTAAAGATCATCTAATCTAACTCCCCTGCTATGGGCTGGGACACCTTCCGCTAGATGAGGTTGCTCAAAGCTGCATCCAGCCTTGAATACTTCCAAGTGATAGAAGTTAAAGGCATAACGGATGTATGTTAAAGGCAATGATGGGGGTAGGGGTCATATATTTAAGAAGCAACAACACTGCTGCATTTATTATGTGCAGGCACCTGATAGAAAGCCATTTGGTGTAAGCAGCTGCATAAGAAACTAGAAAAGGATGAGGGGTTTGCAATAAATTATGATTGCTTGCTACTCTGAGAAGTCATTTTGAGTAATAGAGCAATCATTGCCTTTTGTTCATAGAATGAGCAGCTTTATTCAAAAATACAGTTACTGATCTGAAATACTCCATTCTTTTTGCTGTCTGACTTCTGTGGCACACACAGGTTTGGATCAGTTGCTTCTCACTCAGCTGGCTAATGGATGTTAATGGCATTGTGGCTGGTGTCATCTTGTATTGATACCACAAGGCCCCAGTAAGTCATAGAAAACTGAAAGGAAATAATGGAAAACATGGCATTGAACAGCATCAGTGAGAAAAATCTCAGGAACTTTTTATGCCCTTGCACTTTTCCTGTAAACAGGTAGAGCAGAGAAGGGTCTTCTAATTCATTTCTGGGTGTTGGATGTGCTGATTTCTCTGGCTCACCAGTGCTGCACATGCAGCTCCTGGGCACAGCCAGAGATGTGTGTGAGTCAAAGATGTGGTGTAGTGTTGAGTCAGTGGGGCACACACGATCCCTCATCCATGGTGAAGCGGAGCAGAAGGAAGCTGAGGGGCCATCTTGTACAGCACCATGGAGTACATGAGGAGCTGCTCAGCCGTGCTCTTTGAGAAGGTAGAGTGCACTGTGAGTCACACAGCTTGCTCTGACAGATGGGGAGCAAGCAAGTAGAAAGCAGAGGTTTAGGCTGGCAGGATAATATATGCTGTTCTTGGCTTTCCCTAAGACACGTCTTGCTTAGGTCAGAAGGCCAAGTTCAACTGTTTCAAGGGCTGGAGCCAGCCCCTGGGATTGACTGCTTTAAAACTGGTCTGTTTCAGCATTTCATGGCAGAACATGTGCAGCAAAACTTCTCTCCACCCCCTTTCTTCCCATCTGCCCAACTTTAAATGCAGGTTAGATTCCCAAGTGTTTTTTGTCATTGATTATAACACTGTATTGAATGTTTCACTGTGCTCCTGCTTTAGAGAAATCTGTGTTTTCTCATCTGTTTTGGTTTTTTTGCAAGCATGAGTTATCAAGCAAGGTAATAAGGTAGTAGAAGTGCTTAACATTAATAAAACTAATGGACAGCAAGGTTGGATCTGTCCTCATGCGTACAATCAATTTTATGAAGCTTCTTCAGTCATTTCTCCAGGTGCTTATACAGGGCTCTGGGAAAAATGAGTAATAAATACTTAAACACTTACAATACTTTGATGAATATTTTACATTGTAGAGTGTGTGAATATTAGTAACATTAATGCAGACTTGAGAGTTAGAAAAATTTTTATAACCAGAATGGCTGGTCATTAGGTGGTAGCTCAGGGATAGTGGTGGAACTGAATGAAAGAAAGTGTTTGCCAAATTGTCTGCTTGCGTTTCATAAAGTACTGAAAGTGCAAATGGAAAATATCTCCTAAAGTATATCTAATTCTCACCTTTGTATTTTGGAAAGTACTGGCAGGGTATAGTATAGGCTAGACTGTAGCAAGGGTGAGACAGAAGTGCAGTAACTGCAAAGATGGATACCAGATGGCAGTGTGTTTGAGATCCCTTCTGCTTCGGTTGCTGCATCTAGGGTGTAAGCAGACAGCGCTGGCAGGCCTAAGGAGTGGTACCAGCAAATCACCTGGGGCTGGAAAAGAAGTCCTAGTTTCTCTGAAAGCAAGACAAAATACATTAGAAAGCAAGTCAAGTGTACCGATGACAGAAATGGAGGACATATCCAACTAAGGAAAACAATCTTTTCTATCTTGAGGTTCTGAGATTACTTACCCTATTTCCATCCCTTTTTCCTCTGTGTTCAAGTTCACTCCCAGTGAGGATGCTATGGCTATGGTTGTGGTCTGTTAAGCGATCCAAGTTTCCCACCTCTGTAATCCTCACCTGGTGAGGTCTGTTGCCGACATCAGCCAGAAATGCACTGAAGCCCTCTGGTTAATAAAGCCTTCAGGGCGCAGTAGTGCACTTCTTCCTCTGGGAGGCACCCAGCACCCTGCTTGGGCTACAGGACAGAGCTTTGAATTTCGCCAGCACAGTTCACCTCCCATGGAAATAAATAACCTGCTAAGTGTGTCACTTGATATCCAGTAACAGAGGAAAGTGGTGCTACTGCATTCTGGGGGCAGCTGATACAGAGTAGGCCCACTCTTAAACATAGGCCCAAAGTACAGCCCTTTCTTTTGGGAAGGGCCTTCCGCACTCATCCCAACATCAGTTCTTGCCAAAGTGGGAATGCTTGTCCATCAGAAGCTACACTGAAGTACTCCATAAATTTAGCCTTAAAATTGTTATTCTGGACTTAGAGACTTGGAATCTTAGGACTTAGAGGGTTGGAATCTAGTCCTGCTTTTGCAGAATTTAAGTCCTTTCTAAATAAAATGTAGATGTGTCAACCATCCCAAAAAAGCTAACATTAAAATGCAGACAGAGTTGGCTGTGTAGAAGGCACTTGGAAGCACTGTAGGGGTAAGAAATATTTCATGATAATGCTTAAATGCTAGATAAGAAAGAGAGCTGAGTTTCGAAGTGAACATGTTAGGGTCAAAACCAACAAATGATTCCGTAATGAAACACGAACTGATGGAATCATTTGAGAAAATATTTTTCTGCTTCTGAGATCTAAAATGCCAACATAGGGCATAGAATGTGAAATATTGCAGTATTTTGAGTGATATTTTCTCTGTTTCTACATCTTTACAGTATACATGAAAGTAGGTTTTGTGGAAAGACCAGCTGAGCTTTTTCTGTGTGTTTTTTTAATCAGACAATCCCAGTTTTCAGTTATTCAGTTGTTGAAGAGATCAGTAAGGTTTTCATTAGGTCAGGAAGCCACATGGAAAAGGCTATTAAATTACTGAAAGGTTATGTCACATTAGGGAAAACAGGTTTGTAGTTTTCTTTTTAAATTATGTGGAAGAGACTTTCCACTTTGCACTAGACAGTGTGTAGAAATTGGGGGGGTTTTTGTTTGGCAGTTTTGGGATTTTGTTTTATTTTGTTCTTGTTTTTTAACAAGTTGACCTTAGAAGACTCCAGTGTACCTTTTTGGAAGCAAGCCAGCATACCTTCTTTTGGTGTTCATGCCATTGCTTTGAACTGAATAGATGAAAAAACATCCCTCTCTATTGGAGTAGAAAACTTCTCATGATCATATTAGGGCTTATTGTTCTCAAAAATAAATTGAGACTCAGGTTGCTTATGCTATCTCCTTTTTCCAGAATCTTAAATGTTGCTCAGTAGTGATTTATATTGTGGTCTGCAAGCTGAGATGGCAGAATCATAGAATCATTTGGTTGGAAAAGATTATTAAGATCAACGAGTCCAGTCCATGACCTGTCCACTACTAAACCATGTCTCTAAGTACCTCCTCTGCCCATCTTTTAAATAGCTCCAGGGATGGTGACTCGACCATTTCCCTGGGTAGCTTTATAATTTCATTTGGAGGGAATTTTTAGCCTAAAGAAATAATGAGGAAGATAAAAGTAGGCCAGAGCTCCAAAAATGTAGGTAGTTGTATATAAATCCAAAAAATATAGAAATTAAGATAAAGATACAGTTCTTTTATGTGGCCAAACTTAATTTGTGTAACTGATAGCTGATGGAATAATTTGCATGACCTAAATGAAAGAGTATAGCTTGTTCAGGAAACAAAAATCAGGGGGAAATGGGAAAATGTGCTGTGTTTGTGTACCAGCAATGCAGAGGCTTGTTCTGAAGTCCAGATCACCTGGAAAGGAATACAGCAGGAGATACTATCCAGCAAGTTTTTAAATGCTTTGGTAAGGTTTTGGCATTTAAGGTCAAGGAAATAGCTAGAGGACTCTTTTCTTTGTAAACAAGGAAGATAAAGTCGGGATGTCAGACAGGGTAACATTGGTGAGAGGCATCTAAGATATGTTATTATATCCAGTTGATAGGAATGAGAAATAGGAACATAGTAGCAGTGGATT